AGCCTGCTCTTTCCACGCCAGCTTCTCTCTCTCTGCACGCTGGGCCGCCTCTCACCCGGATGTCCCCTCTCACCCGGATGTCCCCGGCCACCATGGGCCTCGTCTGGGATGACTGCTGCCATGGGACCAGGAGCCGCGTGAGCACAGGGTTCTGAGCATGGGGGCATGCAATGTCGCACACTCGTGACACCAGGAGGGGGCGCTACTGTCCTCACCCCCTTCTAAAGACACAGACACGAAGGCGCAGACAGCCAGCACTTCTGTCCAGGGACCACAGTCGGAGGGTGGAAGACAAAAAGCTAGGGCTCGGGCAGCCTGCGTCCTCTGCTCTTAACCATGGCACAATAGTGCTTCCCCAAGGAAGAACGTGGCAGAGTCTGCGTGGGCTCTGCAGGCATCCAGCCCCGGCCCACAGCTGCTCAGCCCCTCAAAAGTCACAAGGCGGGGCCGGCGCAGTGTCACACTAGGTTAATCCTCTGCCTGCGGCACCGGCATCCCATATGGGCACCGGGTTCTAGTCCTGGTTGCTCCTCTTCCAATCCAGCTCTCTGCTGTGGCCCGGGGAAAGCAGTGGAGGATGGCCCAAGTCCTTGGGCCCCTGCACCCACATGGGAGACCGGGAGGAAGCTCCTGGCTCCTGGCTTCGGATCAGTACAGCTCTGGCCGTAGCAGCCATTTGGGGAGTGAACCAATGGAAGGAAAACCTCTCTCTCTCTGTCTCTCTCTCTCTCTCACTGTCTGTAACTCTACCTCTCAAATAAATAAATAAATAAATCTTAAAAAAAAGTCACGAAGCCCTGGGTTCCTCCTCACTCCGCACCTCTACTCCCTCCACTGTAAAGTGGGGACCTCACAGCTGCCCAGAGCTGTTCTGAGGAGGAGATAGACTACACACAGAAGTGGGTGCAGCCCAGCAAGGGTTGGCTCAACTCATGCTAACAGTCATCACCACCAGTAGGCACCGCCTCCAGGCTCCCCTTCACCCCCAGTCGCATCCCAGCTCCTTGGCTAGAGGTGCTGAGCAGAGTAGTCCCTGGGGCTTCGCCCTGCCCCAGGCACTCACAGGTCCACTCGGTGGCATTGGGCCCCGCTGCCCGCTGGAGCCCGGCGGCAGCACTCAGTGTCAGCTCATAGCAGGTGCCGGGCGAGAGGTGGAGGAAGGTGTGAGTGGAGACGCCCCGTGCGACCACTGCAGTCAGGTTGGTGCCTCCTTGGAGGTCTGTGAGCAGCAGGTGCAGCCAGGCAGCCCCCTGGGAGCCGTTCCAGGAAGCTTGCAGGGCAGCGGTGCCCAGGGCACGCAGCACCAGGTGATCCGGGGGCATGGGGGCTGGTGGGAGGACAGAGACAACAGAGTCAGGTCTGGAAAAGGGCCCCGGAGCAGGACGCAGGCGCTGACCCGGCTCTAAGGGGCGGAGCAGAAGCCCAGCCACCTTGGGACGTGGCCCTAGCCAGGGCCACGCCCAACTGCCAGCCTCACCTGTCCACTGGTGAATGTTGGTCTTTGCTTGGAGGGTGCCAGCCCAGGTGGTAACCTCCAAGAGGTACTCGCTACCTGGCAAGAGGTCACTAAAGTTGTAGGCCAGGGCTTCTGGGGACGTGGAGACGTTGTGAGCCACGGTGCGGGACTCCAGGTGGCACAGGAGGAGGTGGTAGCTGTCCTGCTCCCCAGGGGCTGCACCCCAGGAGGCCTCCAGGCGGAATGGGCTCCCAGGGCTGTGGAGCCGCAGCCCAAGCACCGGCGACGGGCCTGCAGCACCGGGGAGACAAGCGCCAAAGGGACATCACCCCTCTGCCCGGAAGTGGCCCGCTGTGCCGGACGCCGGCTCCCTCCACCTGCGGACCCCGTACCGGTGCGGGCAGCCAGGGTGACAGTGACATTCTGCCCACAGGGACGCAGCGCCGTCACCTCCAGCTGGTAGCGACTCCCTGGCACCAGGTCCTGGAACTCAAAGCTGGACGCGTTGGTGTGAGCCTCGCGCTGTGGGCCTTCGGGAGAGCCGAGGGGACTCAGACGCGTGAGACGGAGGACGTGGGCCTGCCCGCCAGGCTCCGGGGCTGTCCAGCTCACAAAGAGGCTAGGCGGCCTCCCCTGGCTGCTGATGTTCACTTCTGGGGGTGGGCCTGGGGGGAAGGGGCTGCACTCAGCCTCTCCCAGGACCCTCCCACCAAGAGGGGAGGCCAAAGAGGACTCCAATCCTGTGCCCAGCCAGCCAGACCCCCCCGGAAGACACCTACCTGCACCCCCCTCGGCTGGGCTCCCCTCCCGGGAATGGCATTCATCTTTCTGGGGGGTGTGGGGAGAGAGGAGGGGATGGGACGAGGCCTCCGGGGTCCAGGCCTCTGGGACAGTCAGCGGGGGGAGGGCCGAGATCACAGAGGAGGCTCCCCTATTGGGTCCTCCCTGGTACGCGGCCAGAGGGCATCTCCCCAGCCCTGCCCAAGCGCAGGAGGCAGCCCGGCCGGTGGCTGCCTGGAGCCAGCTCTCCTCCTGGGCTGGCCCAAGCGAGGAGAAGGAGGCATACACCCTCCTCACCGAAGGCAGTCCAGCCGTGCGGCCCTGGGGGGAGGTGGGCAGCAGGGGACCCCCATGGCCACCTTACCTCGGCCAAAAAGCCCTGGAGCCAGAGGAGGGTGGCGAGCAGGACTGGGGGCCTCATGCCAGCGCTGTCTGCAGAGGAGAGTGGGGGGAATAGGGATGGTGCCGTCCCCCACCCTCCCCTCGCCCCGCTGTCTGGCAGGCAGGCCGGCAAGGGTGGGACGAAGTTTCCAGTGGGCAGCAAAGAGCAGGGGGCTGCACCCACCCCGCCCAGCCTTGGCAATGCTCCTGGAGGGGAGAGAGGCGGAGGCTGGCCCTGGGCCCAGAAGGCGGAAGGAGACTTAACTCTGGGCGGGCAGGCCGGCCACCTCCTCCCTCTGCCCCCACCTCCACCCCACTCCCAGCGGCTGGCTGTCCAGGGAGGAAAACTCCAAGAGGAGAGACGGCCTTGCGCGTGGACACCCACAGCCGAGGCGGCTGACTCCCCCGGGCCCGTCCCTGGCCGAGGCTATGGTGTCCACTCCACTAAGAGAGTCACCGAGACAGATAGGGAGTTTGTTTCCGGCAGTGGCGGGGGTAGGGGGTGGCTCCTGGCGACACTGCAGATGTGTTCCGGGGAAGAGCCCAGCTGAGCACCCCCCAGCCCCCCATGTGTAAGGAGAGATCCTGGACTTGAACCTGAACTTCAGACTCGACAGAGCAGAGATGGCAAGCCGCTCCTAACCCCCCAAACAGGGTGCTGTCTGCCTGGCGCCTCCTGGGAGGGAGCTGTGCTTGCCTCCCGGCCCCCCCCCCACCTCCCCATCAGTGAAGCCCATCCCGGCTCCCTATCCCTGACACCTCACCTGGCTGCGGGCCCCGCAGAGACCCAGGGAAGCCTTCATGAGGCCTGGCCTAGAAGACATTGAACCTGAGGTTTTGCTGTCCCCCCAGCCCAGAGCCAGCTACTCACCTTGGTGCGCCCACCCCAAGACAGCGAGGGAAGGGAGAGTGGAACCAGCCCTGATGACAAAGCCCAGGACCCAGGGCCGCTCAGGGAGTGGGGACAGGGTGGGCAGAAAGCACACAGCTGGACAGACTGAACTCCAAGACTTCTGCAGGAGCTGGGCTCTCGCGGCTCAGCCCTCCTCCTCCGCGGCACCCAGCCCCAAACCTCAGAGCCGCCTCCTCAGGCCCTGGATGGGGGCCTAGGAACTCAGTCCTGCAAACTCATCAGATTTTCCAGGCTGCGTGTGCATGTGTGCGCACGTGTGTGTCACACACACACACGTGTGCTCTTATGAAAGAGGTGGGGGCTAAGAGGGTGGCAATTAAGGAAATGGATGTGAAAGGCTGAGACCCCCCGAGGCAGGGGGAACCCCCTCTCTCGCCCCTCCCCAGCCCACCTCACCTGGGCACGCGGCACGTGGTTCTATCTGGCACAGCCTGATCTGCAGCCGGAAGCGTAGAGGTGAAGCGGAAGCATCGCAATCCGTAACCTGAATGGTTTAGAGGCAGCAAAATGTGGGCTTGGGGGGAATGTGAGTCCCCAGGACACGGAGGCCTGTTGGGGGCAGCACGGACTCCATGGCCAGTCCCTGCCACGGAAGGCACAGCTGCCAGGCCCCTGCCCAGGCCGGGGCAGCCTTGGGGACCTGAGGGGTGATCCAGAGAGAGTACAGGAGGTTCTAACACGTAACACACAGCCTCAGCCACCCAAGCCTCTCCGTTCAGCAAAAAAATGCAGATCCCCCTGGCACCAGCCCCAGACAAACCCACATCCTCTCCCTAGACAGCCTGGGGTTCTCCCCAGGTCTCAGCACCTTGTAGATCCCGTCCACAGAGAGCCAGCCAGGAGGGCAGCGGGCAGGTCCCGGCGGCCGGGCTCCCAGCCAGGCACTGGCCTGGTGGCTCCCTGCAGCTGTCCCAGGCGGCTCTTCCGGCCCCTCCCCTGCTCTCCCCAGCCTGAAGCCAGGCCTTGGGCATCCCCCACGCTGGAGGAAGATAATCACCAGGCAGGAGAGGGGCAGGAAGGCTCAGGACAGCCGAGGTGCCCACTCTCCCTCCCACACCCTAGGGAAGGGCACCAGGGCGGGGGGGGGCTAGGTCCTACCAGGAGGGGCTGGTGAGGACACATGGGGGTGCGTGCATGGTCCGTGGAGGTGCACACACCTGTCTGGTGAACGCACCAGTGGGCATCCAGAGTCAGCGTGGAGGGGCAGGGGCAGGAAGCTCCTGGGAGGGACAGGCCATTGTGGAGCTGACATCCATGTCCCTGGCTCCAGGCTCAGGAGAGAAGGAGGGGATCCCTCCCGCCCAGGTCCTGGTGGGGTCCCGGGTGTGGCGGCAGCAAAGACCCACTCTTCCCCGGCTCCGGCAGCTGAGCCAGCTGGCTCCCTGCTCCCCTCCCCCAGGGTGGGGGCGAAGGAAATCCCCCTGCACCTGCGGGCTCCGGAGGCAGCAGGAGGGAAAGTGGGTCAGGGTGGGCGGAGGCATCCAGAGGATTCCGCACGGGGTGCGGCTCTGAGCTACACCTGGGGGCTCCCTCTCTCTCAGCCTCCAGGCTGGCTGGCCCAGACCCCTGCCCACGCCCCCCACAGCAGCCCTCTCGGCCCCACTCACCGTGTCTTCCTGCCTCTTCCTGAGGGGATGTTCCCAGATCCCAGCTGTGTCTTTGTCTCCCCCACACAACCAGGGCAAGCCTAGGCCCGCATCCTCGGGGCAGAACAGGCTGGCCCAGGCTGGCCCCAGCGTGGGGGTGGGGCGGACACAGGAGCAGCTGCCTGGGAGCCTAGGGCTCCTCTAGCTCGTGGAGCTGGGGGGTACTGAGACGGGCAGGGTATGCAGGATCCGGGGGTCCTGGTGCTCTCCCGAGGGTCCCTTTCCCTGGAATTTAGCAGGGTAGTAAGGAGCTCCCTGCTCCTGGGGGCTGCCAGGGAACAGTGGCTTCTGGGAACTCAGATTTAACACCAAGGGGCTCCTGCCACTGCGCACAGGGCACCCACCTCCCATGGGACCAGATATATGTCTTTGTCCAGCTTGGCCTGATGGCCTGACACACCCCCTCTGCCCTCTCTGTAGCCGTCTCTGCCCCATCCTGGCGGCTGGGGAGACCCCTCCCCTCCAGAGCCTCCCCACTTCTGGCCTAAACTGTCCCGGGCAGCCCCGGCCCTGAGCTGGCCGGAGAGAGTGGGCAGAGAAGAGGAAGGGGGAGTGGGGTGACAGGCAGCTCCGTAACCGTGACCGTGACTTCCTCCACCGGCTCAGGCCCACCCCGCAGCTGGTACTGGCTTCCCGCCTACACCCCCTGAGCACTGAACCGTGAGCCAAGCCCTGCACGGGCCTCGCACCATCTGACGGACACAGCAGGCCCCGCCGTCGGCCCCCCGGGAAGCAGGAAGCTGAGGAGGAGCGGAGGCTGAGTCGCTTGCCCAAGGCCACAAGGTCAACAAGCAGCGTAGACCCTCGTGTGCAGCCTCTCTGGCTGCCCACCCCCCACCCCCACCCCTCCACATCCCTGCACTTTCCCTGGACTCCAGGGCCTCTAGAACCCAGACCCCAACTCAGGCGACAGTCAGGTGCTGGGAGTCTGAGAGCTGCCTGGGACAGCTGGAGGGGGAGGGGCTCACTCCCAGCAGCCAGCCTGCTGCAGAGGGGGCAGAGGGGCATGCCAGGCCCCCAGGCCAGGCAGAGGAGAGGCAGGTAGAGGGCACGGACATGTGTCTGCTCCCATCTGAGGCCGTGGTCAGCATCCTTAGCCCCTCTGAGCCCTGGCCACACACCTCCGTGGCTGCCAAGGCACTTTGAGCAGAAGAGGAGGAGAGGGTAAGCAGGAGGCAGGAAGTTGTTTCCACTTCATCCCAGGGCCACCAGAGGTGATGGGGGAGCTCGTCTACTGCCCTGACGTCGCCCCCACCCCCACCCAGGGCCCCAGCATCCTCATCGCCTGCCCAAGAGCTCAGCTTCCAGCCTCTGGAACTCCCGCGGGGCCCCGGCCTCTGAGAAGCAGGGAGTGTGCTCAAGCCAACAGGGCTGAGGCCTGGAAACCTGGGGGCACTGGGCCGAGCAGTGGGGGGACAGCCTTGCCACTTCCTCCTCCCCAGCCCTGTGGTATCCTAGCTTCCTGTTCTCGATAACCATCAGAGGCTTGGCCCTCTTTCCAGGCCCTCCTCTCTCCCCAGTGCCCCCCCCAACACAGTGGAGACACTGCCCTGTGGGGGTCGAGGTAGAAGCCAGCCTCGGTCACCACCCACAAGGATGCTAGGGACTCCCAGGCCCCTGCTCGCCACCCTGACCTGGGCACCAGAGTCCGGGCTACCCCAGCCCTAACCAGCCGCCTCCTTGGGACATGCACCTGCTCTGCAGAGGGGCTCAGGCGCCAGGAAGAAGGAGCCAGGCCCTGTCCCTGCTTCCAGGAGCAAGGGCAGATGCTAAAGACCTCTGAGCCCCAAAGCGGCATCCTTGTCCTTCCCCTCAACCTTCTCCCCCACAGGCAAGCAGAGGCCAGCCCCCTCCCCACCGCCCCCTCGGGGTGCCCACCTCCTGAGCCTTTTATACATCATGTCTTTGTTGCTGTCACTGTGTGACGGCTGAATCAGAGAAGTGGGAGGAGGAGAGAGGATGCGGGTTGTGCCTGGCAGAGGCCGGGCCGGGAAGTGTGTCGGGAATGCTGCAAGGAGCGAGCAGACGTGCGGCCATCATGAGCCTGCTGGGCTGCTGGCCAGGCTGGGGCAGGGGTCAGTGGAGTCTTGGACTTGGGGGCCGCTCCCCAGGCTCCAGGCATCCAGGTGCCCTGGCAGTGAAGAGGACGTGTGGAGACGGCTGGTGTGAGGCCAGGCTGTCTACAGTGTGTAAGTCTATTGGGTGGATGTCATGGCTCTCTGAGGGGGTCTGGCTGGGGCTGGAGCCCGGGGGACACCTCTCAGACTCTCCCCAAGGGGGTCTGCTCTCTGCTCCCCCGTGCTGAGGAACTTGGGGACTGGAGAGACCTGGAGAGGCCCTTGTCTCTAGTCATGGAACCCCAGACCCCTGCCTCCGCTTTTTCCTGCATCACCGCTCTGGGGGGAGGCGGCCTATGCTTGGCCCAAGGCTTACAGCGGCGAGGGCTTCCAGAGAGAGGGCTCTGGGCAGGAGCGAAGAAGTAGAAAGAAGTCTGAAGCCAAAGTCAGGTGACGCAGGAGCGAGCTGGGTCCTTGGTGGGACGGAGTGGAGCTGGGGACAGGGCTGGGCAGGCCTAAGGCCCAGAGGAGAAACCCCCAGGAGTGAAGTGGGTATGGGAGCCAGAGGAATGGGGTGGTCAGGGCCTGGGCCCGGCAAAGGAGCTGAGACACAGCCTGGCCGCCCTGGGCAGGCGCAGGCAGAAGGCACGGGACCCCTGGTGGTGACAGCAGCAGGCGCAAGAGGGCAGCACACAGCTGGGGTATGCGTGGGTGGCAGTGCGGAGGGGCGGAGGGAGGAAGCTGGCTTCCTGGAGCCTCCCCAGTCTCAGAGACAGACCGACAGACAGCTGGCAGGAGGCAGCCTGGTGGACACGGCTGCTTCAGTGAGTACCAGAGGGGCACCTGGCAGTGCTACCGCCCTGGGGTGGCGTGGGCCCCGAGGGACCGGCCGGGGCCTCCAGGTAGGGCGTGCACGAGGGTGAGTCGGGGGCTGCTGTGTCGGGTGGGGACTGGGTGCTGGCACATCCGAGGGCCCGAGGCTGGGAGCGCAGGGCAGCCACAGGCAGCTGCAGGAGAACAGAGGCCAGAGGATCCGCACCTGCTGGGGAACACTCTCAATGCACCACACCTGCCCGGGGCCCACGCTGTCCCCTCACCTCTGTCCCTGCGGGCCCACAGTTCCCACCCACCCCCGTGCTATCTCGCAGCTGGGACCCTGGCTTGGGGAGATGGGGGCTGCCCCCCAGGAGGAGGTGGTCCCATCACCTCCGTGCCCCCCTCTCGTGCCCCGGGCTGTCGCCTCACCACGCGCTGTCACTCAAGGGCTTGGTGAGGCCATTTCCTGTGACGGTTACAGAGGCGGGAGATAGGGGGGATGGGCAGGAGGAGGAAGGAAACATCCCCAGCCGACCTCCCTGGACAGAGACCCCAGAAGCCAGAAATGAACTTGGAAGTGGAAATGCCGGCAGCTGGGGGAGGATCCTGCTGGCGGCCAGCAGCCCGGCTTGCTCGGGGTCCTGACTGGCCCTCCAGCCACCAGAGGCTTCCACCTCCTCCTGCAGGAGAGATCTGGGGCGCCTTCCCCTCTGCTTCTGCATGGAGCCCAGCTTTCCTACGTCCTCCCTCGCCTTCTCTCACCCGGACCCCAGCTTCCAGCCCTGGGCTCCTTGGTCTCCGGCCTCTCTGCTCTCTCTTCCTCCTTCTGCTGTCTTTCCTACCTTCACCCATAATCTCCAGCCCTTATCACACCCTTACTCTCACCCAAAACCGCCTGCTGCCCTGGGTCCCACCAGAGAGGTGCGGGCCCTCCCATGGTGACAAGGAGGCCGCGTGCTGGGGGACACAGACCTCCCACAGAGGAAGCAGAGGCACTTAGAGACAGAAGGCAGCCAGAGGCCAGCCACTGAGGGTCCCATCTTTCAGGGGGACCTCCTGGCCAACCGAGCCTCCTCTGGGCCCAGCACCCCACCCCAGCATGGTCCAGGCCTGTGGCAGCAGCGCTCCAAAACACAGCCAGCAACCTCGCCGTGGGGGGCAGTCATGACCCAGCCTCTGCCGGCCAAAGCACCTGCCAAGAGGCATGTGCGGCTGCAGGAAAGGTGAGCTCTTCCCCGGGAGGGGGCCCCTGCCTCCATGAGCCTCCGCTCAGCCGCGGGCCCCAATCTGGACAGGAAACCAGTGACGCTCATTTGCATGTGCTTTGCATGTCTGGGGCATGAGGCTTCACGTCAACCCTGAGCCCCGTCCCTACATCCAGGTGGGGCAAGGCCAGGGGCCCTCCTGGTGCCCGAGCCTCAGGGCTTGGGGTGGCAGCGGAAAGGGGCCGGCCGCTGGAAGGAGCAGTCGGCGTCGAGGTTGAGCAAGGGAGAAGGGCGTGCAGCAGGCCTGGCCCCTGGCACCCACTGGGCCCCTGGGTCATGGGGAAGATGCGGAGCAGCTTCCTCCCATGTGCCCTGGAATGACAACAATTGCAAGGGAAGCCAGTACCCCGGGTGCTCACTCGGCTCCGGGTGGCTGTGCCTGCAGGCGGGGCTCCAACGTGGCTCTGATGCTGGACGTCCGGTCGCTGGGGGCCGTGGAGCCCATCTGCTCGGTGAGCACCCCGCGGGAGGTCACCCTGCACTTCCTGCGCACAGCTGGACACCCCCTGACCCGGTGGGCTCTGCAGCACCAGCCGCCCAGCCCCCAGCAGCTGGAGGAGGAATTCTTGGTAAGAACTTGGGGCGCGCTCTGCCACACTCTGCCTTCCTGGTGCAGAGCAGCCAGCCGGCTCCCTTCTCCAGCAGGTATAGGGGGGCAGGTCCTCCTCTTTGGGCTCCGTAGGAAAGAGAAGTCCAGGGCTCCGGGCTGGAGGCTGCCCGCAGGCTTCCTCTTCTGCCCTCCCCAACATCCGCACCTCCATACAAACGCCAAGAAGGCACAGCCAGGGCCCAGCTCCACCAGGAAAGGGTGCAAGGGGAGCAAAGGAGGCTGGGAAGGTAGTGCCGCTCACCCACTTCCTCTCGCCCTGCCAGAAGATTCCCTCCAACTTTGTCAGCCCCGAGGACCTGGACATCCCTGGGCATGCCTCCAAGGACCGCTACAGGACCATCTTGCCAAGTAAGGGCTGCGCCTGAGACCCAGGGAGGTGGGCACCGTGCTGGGGCTGGCAGGTGCACAGGCTGACCTCGCTTGGAGCACCGTCTTCCGGCAGACAAATAGCAGTACCACCCCTGGTGGGGGGAAGAGGAGGTGAAATCCCAGGAGCGACAGCAGTCCCTTTGCAGGTGCTTGCTGTGGGCCAGGCACTGCCTTCATAGTAACTCATTTTCCTTTTTTAAAGGCTGATTTTTTTTTTGTTTGAGCGGCAGAGTGATAGACTGGCGGGGAGGGAGAGAGAAGATAGAGAGAAAGATCTTCCATCCAGTGGTTCACTCCCCAAAGGCCTGCAACAGCCAGGTCGGAAGCCAGGAGCCAGGAACTCCATCCATGGGTAGTAGGGGCCCAAGGACATGGACCATCCTCTGCTGCCTTCCCAGGCGCACATGCAGGAAGCTGGGTGGGACGCGGAGCAGCCGGGACTCCCACCAGCACTCCGCTATGGGATGCTGGCATCGCGCGGCAGCTCCACCCATCGCCTACCACACCACAGTCTACACAGTAACTCCAGGGAGCTGGCGCTTTTACAGGCGAGGGAACCGAGGCGCGGAGCAGTTGGTGGGCTTGCCCCAGTCACACAGCCTCTTTCCATGGGTTTGCAATGGGAGAGGCACTGCCAGGATGGCTGGTCAGAGAGGACTGTAAGAGACGTGGGTGGGTGTGGAACAGCGGCGAGCGGGCTGTGCTGTGACTGCCTGGGATCGGGGACTCTGGGCAGTAACTGGTGGACCCTGCAAGTTGACAGCCCAGGGCTGGCATCGCTAAGTCCTCGGGGGAAAGCCGCCAACCTGGGAGCGTAGGCCCTGACAGTCTCCCCTTCCTCCCTCGTCTCCACACAGAGAAGTTGAGCCTGCAGGCCTCAGCCCAGCCCAACTCACCCATCCATCCTGCTCCCTGCCTGCCTTCCCTGTGTGCCCTCTGCGTGCATGGGCGAAGCCAAGGGCTCCTGGCCTTGTTCAGGCGGCAGGAGGGGCAGCCTTGCTCTTAGCGAGAGTCCAGCAGCCCTGCAGCCAGCAGAGAGGGCACAGACCCCTTTGCCTAGACTCACCTGGCTGCCGGGGTTCGCTCTGTCTATAGCTGCCTGGCCAGGGGGAGCGAGAACAGCCACCCCCTTCCTCCCAAGCCAGCCTCTCTGCTTCCCTGTCTGGGTCTCATCCAGAGACTGCCCCCCACACACCCCGAGGAAGAGGCGGACACGCTGGCGGCCGAGTGAAGTCGTAGTTCCACTCCCTGGTCAGCACGTGGCCATGGCCCGCACGCCACTCACCAGAATCTCATCCTCACTCCTTACTTGTGCCTAGCGGCACAGCCTCTTGCCCACTCTTACTGATCTCAAGCCTACAGCCCCGGCCCACGTGGTCTCCCCTGTTCCCTCCCTGAGCCAGGCCAAAGCCAGGAGCCAGGAACTCCATCCGCCTCTTCCACGTGGCTGGCAGGGGCCCAAGTACTTGGCTCACCTTCTGCTATCTCCCAGGCGCATTAGTAGGGAGCTGGATCAGAAGCATGGAGTATCCAGGATTCGAATAGGCACTCAGATATGGGATGTGGGCATCCCAAGGCCCCACCATGACATCCCCCCCACCACGAAATAACCCAACCAGCACCAGGCCACTGCGACACACAAGGGACTGTGTTGTGCCTGGAACTCTCCTCCCTCTGACCCTGTGGGAGTCTGCATTTGTCACCTTATGACCTCTGACCTCCTCTGAGTTTTACTTCCTAGATCCACAGAGCCGTGTCTGCCTGGGCCGGGCACAGAGCCAGGAGGATGGAGACTACATCAATGCCAACTACATCCGAGTGAGTGGCCTGGCCACCCCCACCCCGCGGTGGTGCACACAAGGGCTGGGGCTGTGTCTGGAGATGTCCCGTCACGTCCTCCAGCCGGGAGGGTGGCTCAGGTGCCGGGTTCCCTCCCTGCCACAGCTCCGTCACCCTGGGGGAGCGGGGGACACTGAGCAGGCCCCGAGACACCAATCCAGAAAACAGAGGGGGCATCGTGGTTCCTGGGGGAAGAGGCCGCTGACTCTCCCCCACCCCTACCACCAAAGCACAGCGACTTCTAACATGGGCAGCAGCAGAGTTGGTGCTGGCAATGCTAGTCTCGGGATGACCCGCTAGGGAGATCTGCAAGCCTCTCTCTCTCTCTCTCTCTCTCTCTCTCTCTGATGGTCTGATTGACGTGTAGCTATGGGAACCATTCTACTCCCCCCCCCCCCACATCTGTGTATTGGGCCTGAGTGGGTGTGAACCAGTGCCCTCTAGTGGCTAGAGGGGGCAGCACAGGTGCCCGGAGGGAAGCCGTGGAGGAACGAGAGCTTCCGTTGCCTGCTGAATCGCACCGCTGGAGAAGCAGCAGTCAGGGATCCCAAGGGGAGAGACCCAGGTTGGAGACAGTGTGCTCCACTGTGCTGCTGAATATGTAAAACAATAGGCAAAATGAAACGTTCCTTCAACAGACATGGAACCCTGTTTCGGTATTTTGTGCTGGAAGAAAGCCGCAGGACAGCAAGGGAAGCAACATTTATGCAGCACCTGCTGTATGCTGTATTCTCAGTCTATCGCCCCGATTTTAACCCATGATAGATTCCTGCAACATAGGTGTTATGATACCCAATTTGCAGATGAGAAAATCGAGGCTTACACTGGCACAGCTAGGAACTGGCAGAGCAGGGGAATGAACTCATGTTCCTCACTCCAGAACTCCGTGGCTTCTGGGGCTGTGTTGGCATGCGTGCATCTGTCTGTGTGCATGTCCTTGGTCTCACCTCGATCCCAGCACCTGCAGCCTGGACTTGGTCTCCCCAGGGCTATGGCGGGCAGGAGAAGGTCTACATCGCCACCCAGGGCCCCATGCCCAACACTGTGGCCGACTTCTGGGAGATGGTGTGGCAAGAAGAGGTGCCCCTCATCGTCATGCTCACACAGCTCCGGGAGAGCAAGGAGGTAGGAGGCGGAGCCGGGGAGAGCAGCTCCGGCACACGCGCACACACGCTCACACATAGATGCTCACACAGTGAGACACACTCACACACACAGGCTCACACAGTGAGACACACTCATACACAGATGCTCACACAGTGAGACACACTCACACACACATGCTCACACAGTGAGACACACTCACACACACATGCTCACACAGTGAGACACACTCACACGCAGATGCTCACACAGTGAGACACACTCACACATACATGCTCACACAGTGAGACACACCCACACATAGAGGCTCACACAGTGAGACACACTCACACACAGACTCACACAGTGAGACACACTCACACACAGATGCTCACACAGTGAGACACACTCACACACAGACTCACACAGTGAGACACACACATACATGCTCACACAGTGAGACACACACACACATACATGCTCACACAGTGAGACACACTCACACAGACTCACACAGTGAGACACACTCACACACAGAGGCTCACACAGTGAGACACACTCACACATACATGCTCACACAGTGAGACACACTCAAACACAGATGCTCACACAGTGAGACACACCCACACATAGAGGCTCACACAGTGACACAACACATACATGCTCACACAGTGAGACACACTCACACATACATGCTCACACAGTGACACACACACATACATGCTCACACAGTGACATAAGCACAAACTCACTCACACAGGCACTTACATACACTCACTAGCACAGGCTCACACAGACACCACACACACTTTCACACTTGCACACTCAACGTACACTCACATACATGCTCTCTCACATGCACCCATGCACACTCACACACACACTCACCCCAGCCCTGGGTGGGTGGGAGACAGGAAAGGGACGCCCCTCAGCTGATGCCCCTCCCCCTCTGACTCCCAGCCCCTCCCTCCTAGAAATGCGTGCACTACTGGCCCACAGACGAGGAGACCTACGGGCCCTTCCGGGTCAGCCTCCGGGACAAGAAGGAGTGTGCAGAGTACACCGTGCGGCAGCTCACCATCCAGGTAGCAGCCCTGAAGTCGGGCCCAGCCCTCCGCGGGGCGGGGCGTGTGCTCACCGGCATCCTGCACCACATTTAAAACAGAAGAGAAAGCAGGGACCCTGTGCCCGGGGGCCTCTAGTCTGTGGGGGCAGAGGTGGGCGTGGGCGCCAACAGGGAGCACCGCCCACCGCCCGTCTACGCAGAACCCCCCACCCCAGTGAGGAGAACGGGCACTCCCCGGTGAGCTGCAGGACCGAACGTGGCTGGCAAGAGCGGTGCACTAACAGGTGCATGGGTGCCGCACCGTGCGTTCAGCTGCCGCTGGGGGGCCCGGAGCCCATATCAGAGGGCCTGATTTGAGTCCCAGCTGCACTGCTTCCAGCTCCCTGTTAATTCACCCTGGGAAGGCAGCTGATGGTGGCCCAGGTACTCGGGCCCCTGCCACCCATGTGGGAGACCCAGCGGGAGCCCCCGGCTCCTGGCTTCAGCCTGTTCCCGCCCTGACTGTTATGGCCTTTGAGGGTGAACCAGTGGATGAAAGACCTTTCTCTTTCTATCTCTCTCTCACTCTGCCGTTCGAATACATAAATCTTTTTTTTTTAAAGGTGCTATAAAATGCCTTCTGTTACTGAGTAGTGTTTCACAATTTTCAACGCATCTATCCACTCGTTATTCTCCAGGTATCCTGAGAAATAAACCAGGCACCACTGGCACCATTTTCTTTCTTTTTTTTAAGGAAAGATTTATTTGTTTTTTTGAAGGGCAGAGTTACAGAGAGAGAGCAAGCTTCCATCCGCTGGTTCACTCCCCAAATGGCTGCAACAGCCGGAGCTGGGCCAATCCGAAGCCAGGAGCCAGGAGCTTCCTCTGGGTCTCCCTCGTGGGTGCAGGAGCCCAAGGACTTGGGCCACCATCTACTGCTTTCCCAGGCCATAGCAGAGAGCTGGATCGGAAGTGGAGCAGCCAGGACCTGAACAGGTGCCCATATGGGATGCCAGCACTGCAGGCGGTAGCTTTAATTTTCTTTTAATTTTTATTTATTTGAAAGGCAGAGAGAAATAAAGAGACACAGAGAGACCTTCCATCTGCTGTTCTACTCTCCAAATATCTTCACTAGCCAGGGCTGGACCAGGCTGCAGCTGGGAGCCCAGAACTCGATCCAGGTCTCCTGTATGGGTGGCAGGGACTCAGCCACATGAGCCATCACCTGTTGCCTGCCAGGGTTCACATTAGCAGGAAGCTGGAGTCAGGAGTGGAGCTGGGACTCAAAACCCAGACACACAGAGACTGCAGCATCCCAGCCAGCATCCTAACTCATCTGAACTGATGCACTAAACACCCAACTAGACCCATTTTCTAGGTAAAGAGAATGAGGTTAAGGGACTGGGCCAGTCACGTGCTAGCTATAGGCAGAACCAGGACATGTACATGGGTCTCCCCCTGTTCCAATGTCCTGGCGGTCAGTGCCGGTGCGCAATGGGCAAGGGACAGCCCCACCTGCTCTGAGTCACAGTCCCCCCGCGTGGGGTCACTGCAGTGCCCCTGACCCCAGTCTCACACCTGTCTCTCCCCCACCCCCAGCACCAGGATGAGCGCCGATCAGTCAAGCATGTCCTCTTCTCAGCCTGGCCTGACCACCAGACCCCTGACTCAGCCGCGCCCCTGCTCCGCCTGGTGGCCGAGGTGGAGGATGGCCCTGAGACAGCCGCCAAGGCAGGGCCCATTGTGGTCCACTGCAGGTGCGCAGCCGCTCCCTTCCCATGGGGCTCCCTGGGGAAGGGTCTGGACAGAGCAGCAGCAGGCAGGACAGGAGTGTGGGTGGGCATGGTGAGCCAGGAAACGGGCTGAGCATCTCTACAGGATGAGGCAAGTTCATGGTTATGTGTCACCGTCAGGTAGCTGGGCTCAGAGGGCCAGCCAGCCCACAGCTGGGGACGATCAGCTATAGACCGAGAGCAGAAATGTCCGGGGACCAGAGGCGACCCAGAAGAGGCTTAGTGCGAGGCCAGCAGGAGCCAGGACTCCTGCAGAAGCACCAAGAGGGTGGGGGTGAGAGGCGCTGCTGCTTCCTCGCCCCGTCCCCAGGGCCCCACAGAGAGCTCGTCTGGGTCTTCTGTTCCCAGCCCACCTGCTCCCATGTCCCTCCCACCCCCTTGTCTGTGTACAGTGCAGGGATTGGCCGGACTGGCTGTTTCATTGCCACTCGCATTGGCTGCCAACAACTGAAGGCCCGAGGAGAAGTGGACATTCTGGGCATTGTGTGCCAACTGCGCCTAGACAGGTAGGTCCACGGGTGCCGAGCACAGGACCGTGACATGCGTGAGGGGGCACCGGTGCCTGGGGGCATCAGAGCATGGCTGGGCACGGCGCCATCAAGCCAAGTGAGGGACACCTTTTGCTTAAGGAGTTGTTTTTCGTGCAGCTGATACCCAGGGAAGACTTTCCAGCTGGGACTTTAGCTTGGGGGCCTAGAATTAAGTGTGCTACTCCGTGTGTTTACCCTGAGCCTTCCATCTTTCTCCTCCCGGTTCTCTAGCGTGAGCTTGGTTCTGGATTCCAGGCAGCCACGGGTCATGCACGTAAGCTCAGCGGGTTTGCAGGCCCAGGAGGCCCAGGGCTCAGGTTCTGACTCGGATCGCACTGAGCTGTCGCCATAGCTCTCTATGTCCCCTTTTCTCTGCCCACTGCATGCATTTTAGTCTTGAGCCAGCCCTGCCCTTCCTCTGTCTCCACACCCGGTCCTGAGCGTGGGCTGCAGGGATCGGAGGGCAGCGAGGCGCGGGAAGTAGAGAGGTCGGCCTGTTGAGAAAGTTGGGACTCTCCCAGAGGACTCTGGGGACGTGGACCTGAGCCACCGGGCAGCCGCCCTGACCCTCGGGCCCCCGTCCCTGTGCGTCTCCTTGCAGAGGGGGGATGATCCAGACCGTGGAGCAGTACCAGTTCCTGCATCACACTCTGGCCCTGTACGCCGCCCAGCTGCCCGAGGAGCCCAGCACCTGACCCCTGCTGCCCTCGGGCCTCCAGGCGCCTGCTGTCCCCTGGGCCTGGGGAAGGAGCTGTGGGGGAAGTGGGCTGCGTGATCCGGAGACAGCCCAGGCCGGCACAGGGACAATGCCTCCCCGGTGAGTGCTTGGCTCACGGGGGAAATGCATCCGCAAGGATGAGGGGCCAGGCTGCAGCGGCTTTCCTCTGCTTCCCTCTGGCGGCCCCAAACCCATAATAATGAACTTGACGCCCGGAGCTGGCACTCGGGACAGACTCCACAGCCCGCCGTCCCTGGCTGCTCCAGGGACGGAGCGAGCTTCGGTTTCCTCGCCCATGACATGGGCCCTAAGTGCTGTTGCCATTAAGGAGAGCGACCAGAGAAGCTCCCAGAAGCCTTCCTGGCTGCACCTCTTCCCAGAGCTCCTCCCCTCCCCCACCCGGGGCCCTGCCCAAATGCAGGCCAGGAGCAAGCTCTGGGAGAGTCAGGTCCTGACCTCAAATTCTCAGTGGCTCAGTGCGGCTCTCTGCTCTCCGGGACCCAGGTTCCCCTGTGTCCACCCTTGTGTCAAGGGAGCAGGTGCAGAGGCGACTGGGCCTGGCCGTTGAAATCTCTGCAAGAGGGAAAACGTGGGGACCACCGGGGGCCACCGGGGCTGCCCAGGCCTCCTCGACCGCCGGCCATTCCCCTCCGCTCTCTAGGGAGGCCCAGCACCATCCATGCTGCTTCCATGACCTCAGGAGATACTGGGGGTATCCAGGGAGGATGAAAGCAGGGGGAGAAGACGGAGAACCCAGTGTGGTTTCCGATGAGCTCTGCAGGGCCCACCCGCACAGGCCCATGACCACCCCCCACCCAGAGACTCACACCCCTCGCCCGCCTCCCACGGACACAATGTCCAGGGCACCCCAGATCCATCTCAAACCACACCCCCCAGGAAAGCAGCCACACCCCTCGCCCTCCTTGAATCCCAGCCGCGCTGCCCATGAGGGTGAAAGCAGGGCACCACCTCTCCTGCCAGTCAGCCCCAGGACGCTGCCTGCACAGGGGCCCAGAGGACAGCCCGGCCCGCTGTCACCTGCAGAACACAGGTGCTAACATGGACCTCACCTCGGCGCTGCCGCCTGGCCTCATTGAGGACTTGGTGCCTCTGTCCTGGGAGCCCCAGGGGCGCAGCTCACCCGCTGTCGCTGGCTGTCGCGCTGCCGGAGGTGGGTGGAAGGCTCCCGGGTGCCTGGTCCAGCCCTGCGTGCAGACCCCAGCTGCGGAGCCCACCCACTCCCCTCCCCGCTCCCCAGCTCAGAGCACACAGCTCTGACAAAGCAACCAACAGGAAAATAAAGGCTTCCGGATGGAGAGTCCTCGATTCTCTGCAGCTCTTTCCCAGGCCTGAGGGACCTCTCTGGAGCAAGGCAGACACCACCCCACACACCCGGAGCAGGCGGCCAGTCTGGCCTCCTGGCACATGCCGTCTCCTGGCAGCTCCAAGGACGTCAGACAAAGCGCAACTGAAGCGAACTTGGACAGGGAGGCGGAGGTGCACCGGCTCAGCCTGCTGAGGCTGCCATAACAAAAAACCAAACACCCAGTGCCAGTGAAGTGCACATCTCTCACAGTTCCGAAGGCCGCGGCGTTCACGGCCCCTGCCGAGTCAGTGCCTGGAGGAGGCCTGTGGCTCACAGGCAGAACCTTCTCTGTCTCCTCCTGCGATGATAGTGTCCACTCGCTTGCTGCTCTCGCTCGCTCTCTCTCTGCATCTTTTATAAGGGCGAGGGGGTAATCCCCATCACCTCTCCAAGGCCCCTCCTAACACCACCCCCTTGCAGGATTAGATTTCCAGCAGGTGAATTTCCGGAGGGTCAGGGACACTCAGACCCTTGCACCCACGCTGGGGCGGGAGAGAAGATTCTAAAGGGCAGAGGCCGCTGGCACCTTGACCCTGACACTGGCCGAACACTTCCTGATTCCTCCACTTTGGGAACCGTTTGATCACTGGGTGGGTTTCAGGGTTAGGGTTGGTGTTGAGAGTTTATTTCACTGCTGAGTTCACTTGAAAACCAAGTCTTGCTGAATCCCCAGCCTAGGTTGGGGCTACCCAGGCCCTGGGGCTGCCCCCTGCGGGACACCGCCCACCATCAGCTCTGCGGCTGCAGAGAAGTCGCAAAAGGGGACAGGGCTTTCCTTGGGAAGGGCGCTGCCCGTCCGGGGTTACGTGGGCTTCGGCGCCGCTGCAACACTGCAAACCACGGTGGAGTTCAAGCACCTGTTTCACTTTGGGGCGGGGCATGGTTGTGGCTATGGGGGGGTCAGTACCCAGAGACGCTCAGGGGCGAGAGTTCGGGAACAAAAAGCCTCGGTTGCCTCGCGTTGGTGGCGCTCGCGTCTTCGCGTCCTGGACACGCGCGAGCCGCCCCACTTCAACCTGGAAGTGCCCCTGCCCGGTGGCCCCCACCCACCCCGTGCCACTGCGCCCTGCGAAGCAAGGGTGCCAGCGGGGACGCGAGGAAAATCGCCGCTCCGTCTTTCTCCCCACGTGCCCCCCGGCGCCAGCCTGCGCGTCAACGCCCACCCACCCGCGGCGCCGGGCGGCTCCGGGCGCTGGAGGAGCGCGCGCTCGGGCGCGAGCAGGACGCGGCCGGCCGCGCGGGAGGGCGGCGGCGGCGGCGGCGGAGGAGGAGGAGGCGCCGAGGCCACACCCATCGGCGAGCGGATCCGGGGCCAGCGAGTCGTCGGCCGCCGCGCTCCAGCCTCCGCCCGCACCGAGCAGCGGGACCCGGGCCGCACCGGGAGGGGCCGCTCGGGGCCGCAGCGAGAGGGCAGCGAGGGGCGGCGGGGACCCGGCACCGGGCGGGGCCGGCGGCGGCGACCATGATCGCTTTGTTCAACAAGCTGCTGGACTGGTTCAAGGCCCTGTTCTGGAAGGAGGAGATGGAGCTCACGCTGGTGGGGCTGCAGTACTCGGGCAAGACCACCTTCGTCAACGTGATCGCGGTAGGCGGGCCGGGGCCGCCGGGGGCGCCGCCTGGCATGGCCGGGCATGGCCGGGCACGGCCGGGCGGGGGAGGAGCCGGCCCGGGCGCTCGGGGCCTAGCACGGCCCTTGGGGGGACTCGGGAGGCGCGCGACCCGCGGTCCGGCCCTGGGGCGGAATGGCACGGCCCGGAGCCGGCGAGGGGGAACAGAGAGGCAGGGCTGGTGCCCCTCGAGGGGGGTTGGCGGCACCAAGGGGGTCTTCAGCTGGGAGGGACCGGCCGCGGGCTAGGCCAGGCCCCCTCCACCCCGCGCAAGGGGGCATGACTGGGCGAAAGCGCCGGGGCCTGCCCGCCCTGCGCCTGCAGGATGGGGCTGCCGCGGTTTGGGGAGGGGTCCTGGGCCAGCCTAGCCCCACCCTGAGGATTTAACCCCTCCTGGCTGCAAGAGGAAGGCCAGGCCTTATTGAGGGGGAGGGGAGGCGTCCCCTGGGGGCCGGGAGGTCAGCTGAGGGCCTTGGCTCCTACCCAGACTCCTCCTCTGGCATCTCTCCCCCTGCTGTTGCGAGGTCCAGCAGGGGTCCAGGGACACTGGCCTCCCAGCACAGACAGTGCTGCATCAGAAGTTGCCACCGGGGTGCAGAGGGGGAGTCGGAGGGGCGCTGCCCAGGCCAGGGACAAGGGACAGGGGGGCCGAGGGCCTCCCGTTCCTGGCCGAGGTGTATGTTGGCAAGAGTCTTTCAGGGACAGGGCCTGGTGAGCAAAGAGTTAAAATCTCTCTTTCAAAAAGGGGAAGATGAGCTCCCTGGGTGTGAGAGCCCCAGGTTGCCATCATGGCTGCGGCCTGCGGCCTGCGCTTCCCAGCCCAGCGGGCCCAGGCTTGTGGGGCTCAGGAGGGTTTGGGACAGGGACTGGGGATGTCCGCTTTGCCAGAACCTGAGAGTGGTCAGAGGTGCTGATGGGAAGAGTCAGCAGGACTGGGGGCTGGCCGGCAGAGGGGCCACCACCTGCCTGTGTGGTTGGCCAGGACATCACAGGGGCACTGTGTCACTCCGCAGGCCGAGGCTGAGGGTGGACAGGAGGCTGGAGGGGCTGGCACCCACGGTCACACGACCGGGGACCAGCTTCCTTCCTGAAATGGCCTGAGCAGGTGCCCACCCTTCTTCCTCCCACTGGCTCCTGGCTCCTCCTCATCTCCGGGCCCAGGCTGAAGCCTGGATGATGCTCTGAGCTAACCTTTGCCCCTGGGTCTTAGACTTGGCATTGACGGGTGCTCCCACCTGGCTCAGCAGGCCCCGGGGGACTTGTCTGGGGGATGTGTGCAGGGTAAGGCTGGGAGGAGAAGCAGGCTCAGCCGTGGCTCAGCCCAGGGAGAAGGAAGCACTCCCGTGTGCCGGGCAGGGGTTCACAGGGACACGGGGGGATCCGGTCTCCCCCCACCCCAGAGCAGCTTCCCCTCCAGTCAGCGGGGGTCTCCCGCAGGACAGACGCTGAGAGTCCCGAATCCCACTGCCAGGGTCGCTGTTGGCGGGCAGGGGACGGTCCCCCTGCCGGGCCAGGCCGTGCCTTCCCTCTTTTAATGCGAAATTGGCAACTTTAGCTGGCATGTCCTTAAAGGGCGGGCTCAATGCCCCTTCCCTGAAGAGGCCTCCAAAGAAAGCAGCGCCTGCTGTGTGTCTGGGAATCCGAGACTCCAGGGCTGTCTCGCCGCCGCCCCTCTGCCCACCCTTTGTATCCTCACAGCCGACCGCCTTCCAGAAAGAAATGAGCCATCAGGCCCCCCCGGGCACTGTTCCCATGCCCACCCCTGACTCTGCAGCCCCGCGGTCCACTCACATGGCCTGTGTTTGTCTCTGTTTTTCCCCTCCTGGGTTCTTTTCTGTTCATCCTGAGATCTGGCTGTCCATGGAAACCCAGTTTGGCGTGTCTGGCCGCTCAGCAGGTGCATGGGAGCTGGGAGGAAACTTGACAGAGACCTTATGAGGCTTCAAAGCACCTAAGATGGACCTTGTGACTTCTGAAAAAGTTTCTAGCAACAAAGATGGGAGGTGTCTTGCCCCGGCGGAGAGCAGGGGTCATTGTCAAATATTTAAAAATGGAGACGCAGCAAGTTAGAGGAGGGTGGGGTTTGGGCTCTTTATAAAGAACTCCCTGATAGCTGGAAAGACAGAGGGAATCCCAGTCTGAGAAGGGGGGGGAAGGGGGGCTGGGCCTTACGGTGGCGCCCCAGCCCCCCTGCGGAGCTGGATGCCATGCAACGGGAAGTAAAATCCCACCTCCATGCCACCTTCGCTGCAATGCACAATTGAACTGGTGCCAGGGAGCTGGGCTCCCTGGAGGTCCCCGCTGCAGCCCCCTTGCCATGGTCACCAGCTGGGGCTGGGGCTGGGGTTGGGGCTGGCAGAGGCCGGGTGGTCAGGCCAGGCTCCTCACTCACCTGGGAGCCTGTAGGTCCTGTCATCGTGGAAGACCAATGGCGGTTCCCTGCACTCTGGCACAGCCGTCTCCAGCATTCGGGGAGCCTCTGTCTCCAGTCCTGGGGAACTAAAACCTGCCACTGGTTTTGCAGCCAGAAACTCCGAGGCCTGAAGAGGGTGAGGGGTCTCGTCTCAGTTCCTCCAGACCAGGGATTCCATGTTCTGACCCAGCCCAGCTGCACATGGCACATGGGGGCTGGGCGGGACTTCAGTCCAGCAGGTGCACCCACCCAGGCATGCCAGCAGCCTGCTGGGACTAGGGGGCTGTACCACATTCAGCCCCAGCCCCTCCACTTAGCCAGAACAGCCACACTGTTGCTCAGTGGCTCCTAATTTCTGGGGACCTTTGAGTGTCTTGATCTCTGAGAAAAGTTATGGACCCTTTCCCCCAGAGAAGCGAGCAGTGCCTCCTCGTGTCTGCTGCTTCTGCGTCCCCAAGTCACCAGCTGTGGATGGAAAATATTTGCGGAAAAAAAAATTGCATCTGTACAGAACACGCTCAGACTTTCTCCTTGTCATTTTATAAATGGCACCGTGGAAGCCCTGTTGACAGAGTCTTCATGTGGCATTCAGTCTTGTAAGGAAGCTAGAGGGAAAGTGTACGGGGGGCTATGCCACCCACGCAGACCCCAGGCCCCTTAGATGTGGGACTTGAGCCTCTGTGGCTTTTGGTATCCCAGGGCAGTCCTGGAGCCCATCGCAATGGACACCCAGGGAGGGCTGAAATTTACACGCACCCATCATGTGCGCTCAGAGGCTCGGGGCACACAGAAGGCTCACTGTGGGCCCCAGGTTGGGAACGCCTCCTGCCGAACCTTGTCCCTGGCCATCAGCCACAGGTGCCCAGCGCCCACCTCGCCCAAGGGCGCCTCCTGCAGGGAAAAGGCAGTCATGCGCTTCCGTCTAGGTGGCG